CTCCAGTGAGACTTCCTTCATTGGTCAGCCCGAAGCACCCGGGGGCATAGTGCCAATGGAGCAGGGACAGCAGGATGGGTGTGAACACTGGGGGGTGTGAGAGAGGGCTGGGGGGCTGGGTGGAGACCTCTCGGCAGGGTTCTGGCATGAGAGCTGCTCCCAGCTCCAGATCCTCCTGGCCCCTTAAAGCCTGTTGTTTAGAAACACCGGATGTGCCTCAGAGGCATCTCTTCCCAAACTACTGTGTTTTAGTTTCAAGTTAGCATGAGAAGATTAGGGGTTTTTCTTGGTTCTCTTGTTGCCTTTTGTTATGGCATTAGTTGCCTCTCTCTGATAGTCAACCTCAGAGACTGGACCTCGGGGGAGGGGGGGCGCACAGCATAGTCTGCTGGCTTCCCACCCCCATTTCTGTTTGCCAGCTTCCCTCACCAGCTCCCTGTTTGGCTGCTCTCTCAAAGAATAACCTGCCTTCCCTGTCTCCCTTTTCCCTCTCTCCTTCCTTACTGTTATGGGCCAAATTGTGTCTCCCCAAAATTTGTATGTCAAAGTCCTAAACCCCAGGACCTCGGAGAGTGACTGTATTTGAGGGGGGTCTTTAAGGAGGTAATTAAGTTAAAATGAGGTCATTCGAGTGGATCCTAATCAATATAACTGGTGTCCGTGTAAGAAGAGGAAGTCAGGACCCAGACACACACAGAGGGGAGACCATGGGAAGACACAGGGAGAAGACAGCCATCTACAAGCCAGGGAGGGAGGCCTCAGAAGAAACCAACCGTGTCCACACCTTGATCTCAGATTTCCAGCCTTCAGAACTGTGAGAATAAATGTCTGCTGTTTAAGCCACCCAGTCTGTGGCATCTTGCTAAGGTGGCCCAAGCAAACTCACAAACCTTCCTTTCTTTCTCTTTACTAATTCGCTGATGCCCCCCTGAAATATTGATTGATGACTTACCATGTGCACACACTGTGTAGGACTGGGTTTCCAAGAGCTCAGTACTCAGCCCTCCCCTCATCTCAGAGAACTGACTGGGCGGTGGCATTTATTCCCAAGGCGTCCCACGTAGGCTCGAGGCTGAATCAGTTGTCTTTCTCTGGCTCTCCTCTCACTGTGAGTTACAGATCCTAAAATTCAACATTTCTCATGGATCTCCTATCAACGGTTTTGGACATATTAGGCTCCATATAGCCCCTTCCTCCAAACCTACTCTTCCCCTAGTGGTCCCTTGCTCTGTGATTCCTAGGGGACCTTCATGACGTCCCCCCTCCTTCAGTGGTACACACCATTGTTGATTTGAAGTACAAACTCCTGGGTCCACATCTCACTTCCCAGACACAACTGGTCTTCTAGGCCCCTTAGAAGCCACCTATGAAACTTGAAAGTCCTGTGTCCTTTAGCCTCTGTGCTTTGACACACATTGCTCCCTCACCTGGAACAAACCCCTCACTCTCTTCTTTCAGGACCCTCCCAGTGTCCTTCCAAGTTCAGTTCAAGGGCTACCTTCATGTGAATGTTTCCAGCATGACTAGGAAGAGGAAGTGGGCATGGCCTCCATTGTGGTCAGTGATATAGATAACACATCTAGTTCTTTATCCCGCCCTCATTCCAATCCTTTCCTTCCAGAGCCTTCTAGAATCTGGGGCCATTTCTCTCTGCATCCAGCCAGCCTGCAGATTCCCTAGCACAAAGCTCACGGTCACTGCTGAAGTCATGGAATGATCCCAATTTATCAGGGTCACCAGGGAGGTTGGTTTGGAGAAGCTATTTCTATCTAGATCTACTGTTAGGCTTACAGCTTCACACTCCTTCCCAGTGCACCTCACACCGCTTCCACAGCTGTGCAGGGGACACATGCTGCAGGGTTCCACCATCACTAGCTCACGGCTTTTCCTTCTGCTTGGAATGACGCATCCTCCATAACCATGATCTCTTCTTTCATACCCTCCTCCAACCCCATCAGTCAGACCTAAAACCCTTTTTATCCAAAACCCACTCTTTGTTCACTCCCTCTCTGTGATAATTCGAGTGTGCAACTGACTGCTTTTGGCGGTGAAATGCTGGTGAGCAGTATGGAGTAGATCTCAAAAATTACTCGTATAAATCCAGACTGAAAAAGCAACCCAGAAATCTACCCAACTTCTTAGAAGGGGGTGTTTACTTTTCCTTGGTGCTTTAGTTTAGGGATATATTTGCTGTACATGAAATCAAGCTGATTCCTGAACCATGCCATACTCTCATCTCAGACCCAGGTTTTAGCAGACAACTGTGTAAAGAAAGAAGAGAGAAGACCTCTACTCCTCCCCAGCCCGCCATGTCATAGCAGAATGCAGTTATTTTGAGGGAATTTGGATTTCTAAGATTCTTTTGGTGGTAACTGATAGAATCCAGATTAGTTGAGGAGGCTTCCATGTCGTTTAGTGTCCACAAGGACCCATATCAACTTTAGAATAGTCTGAAATCCTCATCCAGAAACTCTAGACAGGGATTTTTAAAAGAGGTAATTAAAAAAATAATAATTGGCTTGCATTATTCTTCTAATTCAGAACACAGTCAGACCTGGTAGAACCAGGGGATGGACGAATAAGTCAGTGGAGGATTTTCAAATCATCTTAAGCTTGTGAGGGAGTGGGCAGGGTGAAGACCGTTGCTACTGCGGTCCAGAGCAAACTGAAATAACGAGTCTCCTCTGGGTCACTGACTGTTTCTCCCTTGGAGAATGGGTATATTTTCCCATTCCTGTGCCATGCAGCACAGGTCTTACTAAGACGGTCTGGTAGATTATTTGGGAAACTCAAAAGGACTGAAAGAGCACAGAGTTGAAAGCAGAACAATGTCATGTATCACAGAAGCACATGAAAAGCACTTTCCAACCCCAAATCTCCAGCATAGCACCGGAGAAAGCAAAGCCAAGGGTGGGCACTTAGGTCTACTGCTGGGTTGAATGTCCGCTCAGTCCTTTGGGGAGAGACTGATATTTAGAAAAGATACAATGATCAAAGCAGGAATTGGCTCCTTCAAGTGTGGCCAACATGTGTAAGGGGCTCTTTCTACTTTCCATCAACTAGCAGAGTAAATTGCAAGCACGAAGTGTGAAGGGAGGTCATGGCAGACGCTGAGCAGTCCTGCCACCTCTGGCTCGCTGTCCACATGCTGGACAGTCAGGTGGACATGCCATTTTACATATGTCACCTTCATGTGCAAAGTGAACTGCAGAGATGTTACACTGCCCGAGGACCCACACTGTTATCCAGGGTCAGGTTCTGGTTGGCTTTCAGAACCAACACTCTTCTGGCACAAAGCCAAGGTCCCATGTCAGACACTCGGTGGCCCACAGAACCCTGGACAGGTCTGTGGTCCTCTTTGAGAATGAGCTTACTAATCTGAAAAATGGAGCCTGGGACCTCACAGGGATGGGGCATGAGGCTTAGTGGCTTACACATGCAAAGTGATTTCCAAGCTCTGGTCTGGAAGTCTCCTAGGAAAGTTTGCCTGGGATGTAGGATCCAGTTTGACATGAGTTCTTGTCCTTGCTTCTTGTCCTTGGCTTCAGACCCAGAGACCTTGCAGCCAGCTCACCACCGACTCCTCAGGTCCTTTCAGCAGCCTGGCTGAAGTGTGGGGCCGCTCCCTCCAGTCTGGCTACCTTGATGGTCGGCTCAGTCACTGCAAGAGCCTGCTCTATGGAATGGTCTCCCAGCTAGAAAAACCCTATGGGGACCAGGGACCCCTTGAAATGCCTGGGATTTGGAGAGATCGCAAAGGCTTGCACCCACTGGTCTGAGCTGCGGGGGCGATGGTCCCTCTGGGACAGGCCCTGTGGCTCAGCACCAGGGGGCACCACCACCTCTCTCTCCATGCCTTCCCCACCCCTCCTCTGCCCTTAGAGGGAAAGAGATGGGGACCCTGTTCTCCTTCTGCAGAGACCCGCTCCCAAGCAGGACCCACCTTTTCCCCACAAAGACCTCCCCTGACAGACACTCACAGAACATAGCTAATATATACTGTTCTTGCTCTAGAGATGCTGGACTAACACATCAGTCGGGCTCAGACCCCAACTTTAGAATGATGGTGAAGAGACCAGTATTGGCTCAGAGTGACCTGGGCTGAGTGGCCTTGTCCCCACTCCCTCACTGTGTGACTGAGTCAGCTCCTTCATCTTCCTGCCTTGGCTTCCTTATCTATAATGATACTTGTAATAATAGTTGACATTCATGGACCAGGGGCCAGGGGCCCTGTCTTAACTGGAGCTGTCTCACTGATCTTAAACACCCCACGACGGACGTGCCTATTTCCCCATTGTACAGATGGAACAAACTGAGGCACATGGAGATAAAGGAGCTGTCCCAGGGTCTTACAGTGCCAGGATCCAGTAACATGGTGCAAAGTACTTAGCCCAGGCTGTGGCTGAGTGGACTCTGAGGGGTCATTCGTTTTAATAGTGTCCACACACTCTGAACTTGTCTGTGTGGACCCTCTCAGTTTTCCAAGATTTTCCAGCTCATCCCTGACATCCCCCACAACCAGTTCAGGGCAGCGGAAGAGGGCTTTTCCTCCCTCAGCTCCTCCTGGGCTCACAAAGGTCTCTGTGGAGAGACGGCAGAGGTCCGCTGGGAAGCAGGTTAGCCTCAAGTCCCATTAGCCACTGCATTTGGTGGCCACCCCCCTGCCCCAACAGCCCCAAACTCCAAGCGGCCTTCCCCTTAGCAATACCGTCTGTGACGGAAAGAGACCGCGAAGCCCACTGCAGCTGTGCATTCCCGGCGTCCAGTAATCCCCTCTCAGAACCTCAGTTTTCTCATCTGTGAAATGGGAATGGCGACAAGGAGCTGCCCACAGGTCGCTGGGGGAGCCGATGGCGGTGGGGGGTGGGGGGACTTCCGCCTGGCCCCTCGTGGCACGCGGCACCCAGCAGCCCGGGGCCAGCGCGGGCGGGCCGCGGGAGGGGCGGGCCGGGGCCGGGGCCGGGGCCGGGGGCGGGCGCGGCACTGGGCGGGCTGGCGGCGGGGCCGGGCGGGCGGCGGCGCTGCTCGGGCGTCACAGCGCCGGGCGGCGGCGGGGAGATGCGGCTCCTGGCGCTGGCGGCGGCCGTGCTGCTGGCGCGGGCTCCGGCCCCGGGTAAGCGCGGCGGGGCCGGGCGCGCGGGTGGGGCGAGGGCAGCCCGCGCCGGGGAGGCCGGGGCTCGGGGCCGGGGCCTGGCGGGGAGGCCCTGCCGCCTCCCGGGCCGCCCCCTCCCCGTCCGCGCCCGGCGGGCCGGGGCTCCGCGGGTCCCTGTGGCCGCGCCAGCCCCGCGGAGCGCGGCGGCGCCTCCCCGGCTCCCCGCGGCGGCCGTGCGGGGCCCCCTTCTGCCTCCGCGGGGCCCACTCGCAACAGCCCCCGCGCCCTCCCGGGGCCGGGCCTTGGGGGCAAGATTGAAGCGGGGACGCGCCGGCCCTAGTTGTTGGCTGGCTGGCTGGCTTGCTTTCTCCACGACAGTCAGGACCAACAACTGTTGGCAGGTTAGGCTGGCAGCAACTTTCCTCTACCTCTGCGGAGAGTTTCTCCGACCCGGTCGGGAGGGCTGGATCTGCCCCAGGAACCCGGGGCTTGTCGGCGGGCGCTTTGCGAGAGCAGGCCCGGTGCGACACGGTGTCCGCGCCTGGAAGGCGTGGGACCCTTTACCCGAGCACCCTGCTTCAGGACAACCTTGCCTGCACTGCTGGCTCTCTCTTGGGGTTGCTGCTCTCACTTCCGAGTTGCTGAAGAAGAGTCTCTCTTGATTCCCCGAGCCCTTCCCGCCTGCCTCGGAGCTGAAAAGTCCACGCTGGCGAGAATCATAGTCAATAATGAGTATTTCGTTGGCTCTTACATTTCCTGGGTGCCTGATGGGGGCCAGGCGTCCTGCTACACACTGTCTCATTTAATCACAACAACGCTTTAAAGTAATCATGACAAGAGCAAAATTTATGTATCCAGGTGCCTTGCAAACATTAACTCAATTTGCCAGTAACCTCTGGAGGAGGTGCTGTCAGTATCCCCATTTTATAAATGAGGAAACTGAGGCTCAGGCCCAGGAATCGACTTGGCTTAAGTCAGGAGGCTTGTGAGTTGTGGAGCAGGGATTTGAACCCCAGGAGCCTGGCTCTACAGTGTGCTCAGAAGGTCTAAGCTGTGTTTTATAAATAAGGACGCTGATGGTCAGAGTTAAGTGATTTTCCAAGGGTGACCCAGCTCCCAAGTGGTCGAGCTGGCATATGAGCCAGCATAGATCAGAGTGTGAGGAGGAGGGACTTGGATCACAGTGGGGAGAACTTCACCCCTTGTCCCCTGGCTACCAGGGCAGCGGGGTTTCTGGTGAATCTGACATCGGTGCTCTGGGAAGTGCTTTTGTCATCCTTGTCATTGTCTTGGCTGATAGTGACTGGAGGTTTGACTGGGACGTTGACTGGGATGGTTGGGCCGGGACAGCTCTGGTGGAGTAGCCAGCAGCCAACAGGATGCAAGGGGGCATGAAGGTCCTCAGCCCCCCGCCCCCCAGGCTCCCTGACCACCTTCCTGATCACAGGTGCTATCAAGGAGGGCACTCCCAGAGAGTGACTTTTGGGGAGGGTGGGGAGTCAAGGACATTTTTGTGTTTTCAGGAGACTTCAGGAGGCTTGAGAGCTGCAATTCGGGATCCTTTATAGAGTCTTCCCTGGCTGTGCCCAAGGCCATGGGGTGGATTATCATGACAGCCCTGGCCACGATCCCCCACTGCATTTGGTGGCCACCCCCCTGCCCCAACAGCCCCAAACTCCAAGCGGCCTTCCCCTTAGCAATACCGTCTGTGACGGAAAGAGACCGCGAAGCCCACTGCAGCTGTACATTCCCGGACGGACACCCCACGACGGGCCTGGCGGGCCTGTCAGAGCTGCTTTGTACCTAGTTCCGGACTCTTTACCACTGCACTTTCCTACTTCTTGATTTGGGGACAGAGTGGGGCCTTAGCAGTTACATGGTTCAACCCCTCATTTTACAAGAAAGGAAACCGAGGGCCAAATATTTACCAAAAGCCAAGCTGTGGTCCAGAGTGGTGGTTGAGAGTCGCCTTTGAAGCCAAATGGCTTGTGTTCAAATTCCAGCTCTGCCGTGTTCTGTGTGAGCTTGAGCAGTGGGCTTTGCTTCTCTGTGAGGCAGCCCTCTTCTCTGTAAAATGAGGATAAACATAGTATGAGGAGCAACTGGGAAGATAAACCTAAAGCGCTTAGAACACTGCTTGGCATAGAGTGGTAGCCTTTATCGTTGGTCAGGGTCCCGTGTCTATCCCGGATGAGAGCTATTTTCAGGGGATGGGCTTAATGTGGATGCAACACCCCATAGGCTAGGTCTCATAGCACCTCTGCTTGGTGCTTGATAAATACAGGCTCCCAGTGCCTTGGGTTTTTAAATAATACAGTTGTATTTCTTTCAGAGATTTATTTGTCATGAATTCAGACTATCTTTTTGCTAAGAATGAGATTTTTGCTGCCGATTAGTACGCATGATTTGCATTCTTTATACATGCAGACACTTCTGGCTGAGTGGGGTCAGGGAAGAAAGAGACTCTGGGGAGCTGAAGGCTGAGCTGGAGTTAATGACATAAAATTCAGGGCAGCAGTCAGAGGAATGATCTGAGTGAGAGGGAGCAAGCAGTTTCTTCAGGACAGAGAAGGAGCGCGGGGCACAGAGCCACTAGCCCATCGCTGGTGGCCATACGCCCTCTAGGTCCCAGGCCAGGTGGGTGCCTTGTTTCTGTTAGAAGTCCTACACTCCCCTGCAGCTGGAAATTGCTCTCCTCCACTGCGTGGCCAGTGCTAGAGGCAGAGACAGAGGCTCTGTACTGGATGAGTAGGTTGTATACTGTTCGGTATACAAACAGCTTCTTCCGAGCTGTTTCCAGAGCTGTGTTAGTCCTTCTCACGACAGTATCCAAACGAGAGCCAGAGGGTTAGACCCCAGAAATCCTATCCACAGGAATTTAATTCGTGGAGGTGCCTATATTCATCTGTGGCGGAATCCGCTATATAATTTGTGGGATCCAACGCAACATGAAAATGTGGGGTCCTTGATTCAAAAATTTCAAGAGAGTGACAGCGGAGATGAAGCCAAGCAGTGGGCCCTTCCAAGTGCAGGGCCCTGGATGACTGTGGATCATACACCCAAGAAGCCCACCCAGCTCACAGGTCGGCGTGTGTCACTTTCTGTTGCCCTCCCCTGCCTAGCTTTCAGAGCTTATAGACGAATATCAGTATTTTGAAGGTGTTTCCTCATTGGAGCCTACACTCACCTTGCCAGGCATCATTTTCCAATTTTTCAGACGAGGAGAGCCTCACATCTAATGGCACCAAGTTTCTAGCCCTGCTGTATTAAATACCAACCCCCGGCTCTCTGCCCAGCCCCACCAAGCCACTGGGAAGGCCTGGGCTGTGAGAATCCCAGTGCCCAGCCCACATGAGGGAGGGTTCCTTGTGGCCAGAATCCCGTTTGCTCTGTTTCATTCAGCCTCTTCCCTCCCTATGTTGTCATATTCCTCCTTTAAGAACTGGCCTTGGAGGGGTCCTTATAGGGGTGGAGATCTGGGTCTGAGATCGGCTGGCAGGCCCCGTGGCTTTCTGGGCCACTGTGTGGTGCCCTTCACCAGAGGGCGCTGTGCTTTCTCCCTCCAGCCTGCACTAGGTTCCTCGTGCCCCAGGGTCTTTGCACAGGTGGCACCCCCTCTCTCCCAGGAAGGTCACTCTTTTCTACTCTCCTGATTTTTAAAAAAATATATTTTATTTATTTATTTGACAGAGAGAGAGAGAGAGAGAGCGCAAGGGCACAAGCAGTGGGGGGAGTGGCAGGCAGAGGGAGAGGGAAAAGTAGGGAGCCCGATGTGGGGCTCAGTCCCAGGACCCTGAGATCATGACCTGAGCCAAAGGCCAGATGCTTAACTGACTGAGCCACCCAGGCACACCTACTCTCCTGAATTTTATGTCATTTACCCCAACTCAGTGTTTAGCTCCCGGTCACCTCCCCAGAGTCTCCTTCTTCCCTGACCCCACCACAGACTAGATCGGGATCTTGCCCTGATTTTTTTAAAGCCTTGCACCTTTTCCCTGTAGCATGTGACACTGTTTGCCGTTCCTCCTGTGTCATTTTCCCCCAGGACCAGCTGCCTTGCCCACTGGACTCTTAGCTCCATGAGGTTAGGAATGCTGTCTTCGTCTTTTTTTTTTTTTTAAAGGTTTTTTATTTATTTAACAGAGAGAAAGACAGCCAGAGAGGGAACACAAGCAGGGGGAGTGGGAGAGGGAGAAGCAGGCCTCCCGCGGAGCAGGGAGCCCGATGTGGGGCTCGATCCCAGGACTCTGGGATCATGACCTGAGCCGAAGGCAGACGCTTAACAACTGAGCCACCCAGGCGCCCCCCCCCCCCCTTTTTTTTTAAAGATTTTATTTATTTATTTGATAGAGAGAGAGAAACACAAGCAGGCGGAGTGGGAGAGGGAGAAGCAGGCTTCCTGCTGAGCAGGGAGTGCGATGCGGGGCTTGATCCCAGGACCCTGGGATCACGACCCGAGCAGAAGGCAAACGCTTAACGACTGAGCCACCCAGGCGCCCCAGGAATGCTGTCTTCTTTGTGCAGTGCCTGGCTCAATGCTGTTGCTCAGCACGTATTTGTTGAGTGATTAACAAAGCATAGGCTGGGACAGAAGCTGGAGGAAGTGGGAACTCTGGGTGCAGAGGTGCCTGGGGCGGGGGCCGGTGGGGGTAGGGGAATCTACCTCCCATCTCACTTCCCTGCAATGCAGGGTTACAAAGCAAGAAATTCAGTTCTTCTCTGGGTAAGAATGACTTTTTGACAATTCTCCATCCTAGGCCAGGAGAGGGGAGACCACCCTGCCGGGAGGGTGACACCCATCCTGTCCTGTCCTGTAGCTGGCTTGGCCCTTGTTTGTTTGGCTTACTCCTCTGCCCTGTAGGGTGGGTATATTTTCTATCATTCAGACAGAGGCAGAAGAGAAAGGCCTGGACTCCTACGGGCACCGCCTTCTGGTCAGCCTGACTCCGTACGTTGGTTGGTGTTGCCCTTGCTTCCCACCGTCCTGACTCCCACCTGCTGTGTTCTCTGCTGACCCTTAGGGGCCCTGCTGGCTGCAGCCGGGCAGATGCTGTGTGATGCTGTTTTTTCTAGTATTTAACCAAATATCCAGCTCAGCTGACCTCTGCTAAGCACTGGGGCCTCTACCTGCACTTTTCCTCCTCCTTCCCCAGGCCGGCACGGGAGCTGTGTTCGTTGGGTTTTAACTAGAACCAAAGAGAGGGTACTACTGGGAACACCTGGCTTTCAAGGAAGGCTCATTGCAGGCCTGGGGCCCCCTGAGAGCCCATGTCCTTTAGCAAAGCTTTATGCCCCTGAAGGGCCCTTGGCCCTGAATTTCGGTCATCCTCCAGCCATGCCTTTGAGTTGAAAGTGGGTGTAAATATCTGGGTTGGTGGCAGACGTAGGGCCAAACGAGCCTTCCTTCCTGTGAACAAGGATGTATGGCTCGCTGGGGTTGTCGGAACAAAGTGCCACGGACTGGGGGACTTAAACAACACACATTTATTTCCCATTGTCCTGGAGGCCTGAAATGTGAGCTTGAGGTATTGGGAGGGTTGGTTTCTCTCAAGGCTCCCTGTTTGGCTTGCAGATGGCCATATTCTCCCTGTGTCCTCACATGGGCTACCTTCTGTGCATGCACGTATCGTGCCCAAGTTCCTCTTATAAGGACACTGCACATGTTGGATTAAGGCCCTCTCTAATAGCTCCATTTTAACTTAATCACCTCTAGAAAGGTCCTATCTCCAAATACAGTCACATTCTGAGGAGTGGGGATTTGGGCTTCCAACATTATAAATTTGGGGTCACAATTCAATCCGCAACAGGGGTCTTTGCACTTTGGTGGGAGAAGCATGCGTGGACCATTTGTAAGAGAATATGGGGCTGAATGAAGGTGGAGAGGCGCCCTGGTAAAGAGAAAAGGAGGGGTCCTTTTAGGCAAATGGTTTGGTCCATTGGCTTTCCCGGGAGCTGCTGACTCCTGGTCTGAGCTGCAGAAGTGGAAGGGTTACTCATTTGCCTCCAGGATGGAATCTGGCTTCCCATGGGGACTGAACACTTGGCACATTCTCCTGGTTTCAGTCACTATAAATAATCCCTCCTTCACTTGGCGTTAATAGGAGGAGACTGGGGTGTGGGGTCTGGGCTCTCTCATCCCACCCATCTTGTTTCAATTTCCTGCCTTCCGCAGTTCTCCCCTTGACTCCAGTGGGGGGCCCTTGGGGGCGGGTAAAGCTGGGCTTCAGTTCTGGAAGCCAGCTGCCGCTCTCTGCGGCTCTCCTCCTGCCAATCCCCAGGCAGCTGTTGGAGCAGGTCAGCCTGGTGTCCCGGCTGTGGCCCATGGGGACTTCAGACAGGGCCTTAGCAGTCAGGAGGGACTTGGGCTAATTTAATATGGCGTCTGGGCAAGGTGTAGGGCAGATGGGCGAGATGCAAGGGGGGCAGCGGGGAGCATTCCCTCCTCTTTTGTCCTACATGAGCGATTTCTCTCACAGGGAGATTGTTACTAGAGAATGTGCACCTTCCTTGGTTGCTGATGCTCCTCATTCCTGTAGTATCTCCCTGGACTGGCTTTATCCTTTGTTACTGTAGGCATAGAAGATCTCATTCTTTTCCACAAGGAGAGTCCAGCCCAGCACCAACCTTTTTCTTGTGAATTTATGTCCATCTGTTTTTTTAAGGTAACAAAAGATTATCATGATGTGGTAAAACTGAGTGATGGCCCCCAACGATGTCTGGGTCCTAATTCCTGGAACCTGTGAATATTACCTTATGTGGCAAAAGGTACTTTATGGATGTGATTAAGTTAAGGATCTTGGAGTGTTCTGGAGTATCCTGGTGGGCCTGGCATCTGAGAGATGGGAAGAAAATTAGAGAAAATTGACCCTTCCATCATATCTCTGAACGTATTCAGTTTATGAACTCAATAGTGGAAGCCATGTAGGAGGATGAGCTTATTGCCTGGACTTTTACCATGAAGAATATTTTTCACGGGAGTCTTTCCCACCCCGACAGAGATAGGGCCTCACCTTGTTGACTCACGGCCTCTTCCTAGTGGAGGGTTCAAGTCTTTCCTGATCTCTTTTTATCCTTCCTCCTTGCTTACCTGCAGCATTGGCCAGAGTTCAAAGCTTTTGGTGACCCTCACATCAGGACCCAAGCCCCTTCTTGTGACCAGAGGTGACATTTGGGGCTTGAGATACCCCAGGGACCCCTGCTTGTGTGGTGGGGCAGGCAGGGGGTGGTGCTTGCTGCTGTTGGGCAGTTGGCAGTGCAGGGGGAGGATGTGGGACCTGGGGTGAAGACAGCCCTGCCGTCAGGTTCTGGGCATCCTGTGCGGAAACATCCTTTCTGGGCTCTGCCTTCCAGCTGACGGCTCCAGCGGTGAGCTCCGGGGCAGGACGGCCACACTGCTCAGTCCCTGTTGTCACCATGTAGTGAGTCCCCCGGGGGGAGGTCTCTGTGTGAGGTCCTCTGGTCTGGCTGGTCTGAGCGGGTGTTGGGGTGGCTCCCTCCAAGGTCAGCTTGGGGGGCAGAAGGGCAGTTCGGGAGGGGCAGCCCTTGGGGGTGGACCTAATGAAGAAAACAAAGGACGGGATGTAGTAGACCAGGTCTGGGATTTTGGAGCATCTTTTGAGTTGTTGGGGCGTTCTCCCACTGCTCCCCGTTCCTGGGTTTGTTCATTCTTTATTCCTGCACTGCAGCTCTGAGACCGTGGACCTAAGTGCACAAAAGACTTAGAGCAAGACACCGAGAAACCTCTGCTGCCCCAGCTCCTCGGTACTAGTTCAATGCCTGCCTGACTAGCACTGATGTTCTGCCTTGGTTACAGTGGGAATCACGGAGACAGGGCAAGGGGCTTGGAAGGGCGGCTCCTGGACCCACAGCACTGCCACCTCAGGCAGGTGATGAAACTGATCTAAAGTGACCCTGGGAGGCAGGTGGATGGGATATGGGCTGGAAATTTTTGAGGGATTCCAAAAACCCAAATCTTTATGTGAAATGTCCTGAGTGTTAAATGTCAGCAACTAATTAAAGAAAATTTTCAACTATGTCTGGGCCAGTGGTCAGTGGCATCTCATGTGGATGGGATTGTCCCATGGATGAGGACATGGGAGCCCACAGAAGCCCCCTGTCCCCGCCATGCTCCAGAAGGAGTCCTCCTGTCCACCACAAAGGCACAGAGTGAGTGTGGAGGGGATCAGGGTGGCCTGCCCCTCTGGCCATGCAGTTGGCTCCCGGAGAAAAGATGCACTGTGTGTCCTTCTGGGGAAAGGCAGTGGCCATGCTCATTTTCTTCCTTTTTTCTCTGCAGAGGTGTGTGGGGCCCTCAATGTCACCGTGTCCCCGGGGCCTGTGGTTGACTACCTGGAGGGGGAAAATGCCACTCTTCTCTGCCATGTCTCCCAGAAGAGACGGAAGGACAGCTTGCTGGCCGTGCGCTGGTTCTTCGCACGCCCCAACTCCCCGGAAGCCTTGATGGTTAAGATGACCAAGCTCCGGGTGGTGCAATACTATGGGAATTACAGCCGCAGCGCCTTCCGGCAGAGGCTGTGCCTCCTTGAGGAGAGGCGCGGGGCACTCTACACACTCTCGGTTTTGACCCTCCGGCCAGCAGATCAAGGGCATTACGTCTGCAAAGTCCAGGAAATTAGCAAGCACAGGAATAAGTGGACTGCCTGGTCCAACGGCTCCTCAGCGACGGAAATGAGAGGTAAGGGCATATCCGCTCTTTGGGGAGAGACGGGGGGACAGATCAGTGGTCCTTCCTCTAATCGGCGAGATAGGGGCCCCCAGATGGCTCTGCTGGGCTAGAATGCATTTTCATGGCCTCTGTGGGCCATGTGAACTAGGCTGTGGGGATGAGGATAGATCTTTCCTTGGACACTGGGGCTAACATGGAAGTAAGGAGAGGAAGGAGCAAGTGCCTGGCCCCATTCTGCCCAACGTAGCCCTGGGCAAAACCTTCATGTCTAAAAGATTGGACTGGCTGTGTGTGTGCTTTGCCCCCAGCTCAGGTCTGTGCAGCCTTGGTTGCTTTGGCTGGAGGGTGCTGGGCATCCCCCGGAGGAGGCATGCATCGGGAGGTCCTGATGTCAATTTCTAGGCCTCCGAGCAGGGCAGGCTGGTGGCTCTGATCTATTGCCTAGAGGAACTGATCCAAGTCCCAGGCAACATCTCCCTGAGAAATTCATCTGAAAGTGGGCAGAGGACCAGAGGTAGCCCTCCCTTCCTGGAGAAAGATTGGAGGCATGGGCCGTGTTCTGGAACATCTTAGCTACCAAGCACCATATTCGAAGGTTATCATTTTTTATCACAAATGTTCTACAATTTTAATAAGACTTGCTATTGTGTGCTAAATATTACATTTTTTATTGTTTTGAACTTGAATTTGGTCTGGTACAAGATAAAGAGGTTCACAAAGTAAAGCTGATGGTCCCAAGTGTGAGAAAGAATCTAATATTATTACATGCATGTAATATAATATTAAAGGCATTAGTGATGTTGTTTTGTTTTTTTTTTTAAAGATTTTATTTATTTATTTGACAGAGAGAGAAATAGCGAGAGAGGGAACACAAGCAGGGGGAGTGGGAGAGGGAGAAGCAGGCCTCCCGCGGAGCAGGGAGCCCGATGTGGGACTCGATCCCAGGACCCTGGGATCATGACCTGAGCCGAAGGCAGACGCTTAACGACTGAGCCACTCAGGCGCCCAGTGATGTTGTTTTGATAAGCTTTTTTTGAAGGGATAAAACTCAGTTGTGAAGAGGGGGTTGGTTTTTTTTTTTTTTTTTGATAGAAGGAGAAAGGGTATTTTTAATATCCTGCATGAATAAGGGACATGTTAAAGTAGATAATTTATGTAGATAGTGGTTAGTACAACTTTATTTGCCTTTGGAGTTTGCTCATTATAATCTTCTAAAGCACGAAATGATGTATTATCTGAAATGTGCACTTTTTCTCCCTAAGCAAATTCATTCAAGAAAACAAATGACTATTAGTATAAATACATCTTTTGGCACAGAAAGCAGAAAAATGCATCAGATGACCATGGGCTGAGGAGGGAATCCACTCTGAATATCACTTAGCTCTGAAACATAAGATCTTATACATGTCCTTTTTATGTTTATGTCACCGTATATTCTGGAACTGTACATTACACCTCTTGGTAGTGAGGACTCTGTGCAAATTAAAATAGATGAAAACGTTCCCTGCTTTCAAGTGCAGTCATCTAGTTCATTATTTAATGTGAATCTACTTTCATTGAAGGTGGGTTCCTTCTAGAACATTTATTTAGGTACTTGCTCCCCGAATCTGAGGTGGTTCATAAGGTTTCACTGGAAATACAGACCCTTGTCCCCCTTCTCCCCCTCCCCCCCTCCCTTCCTCCTGTTCCCGCTCTCTTCTCCGAACCTCCTTTCTCTTCTTTCTCTCCTTTTCTTTCCATCTCCTGGTCCTCTCATTTCTATTCTTCCCCTCCTCCCTCCCCTTCCCTTCACTTACTCTTTTCTTCCTCCTCTTCCCCTTGTCTCTCAGTCTGTCTGCCTCATGCTCATCCCCCTCAGGCCCTGGAATTTGTTCTAATCTCAAAGCAGAGCTGGGCCTCCCTGGCTGCATCTGCTCAACCTCAGAGCCTCCCGCTCCTCACACTGTCTCAGCCTCTGGGCAGGGCTGTGGTTTTTCGACGGGACAACTGGAAACCTTAGGAAGTGATGACCATACCTTCTAGAACATTCCATGTAGGCTTCAAGGGGACTCCACCAGGAGGGTTAAGAAAAGGTGACTCTACATAAATGACCTGAAAGCAGACTGTCTTGTTTAGGTTGGAACATGTCCACCCCAGGCTGGGGGGGAGCGTGTGGAAGCTTGGCTCACTAGTCCTTCCTGGGCAAGGCGCGGATCAGGCCCGTGGCTCCAGCCTCCCGGGGCACCATTTCCCCAGGCCCTTTTCCTTGCTCATTTCCAGGGGCCATGTTTTCCTAAATCTTCATCTCATATTAATAATTGTTTTATGGAAAACCAGAACAAAACCAAACACAATGAAAAGTTCTGTGGGCAAATACTTTTGGGTGATAACACTGAATAGCAATTCTCAGAAGTGTTTTTTGCAGTGAGTGCCTTTCCTCCTCTGGGCTCCAGAGCCCCTCTGGCCTAGGGAACTCAACTTTGCTCTCCTTCCTGCAGGCTTCTGAAGCCATTCACAGGAGAGGGGAAATTTTCTCGGGAATGTTTTTAACACTACCGCTCTCCCCTGCCCTTGACCACGGACTGTCACACTCTCCTTGCATTGTTCTTTTTTTTTTTTTTTTTAAAGATTTTATTTCTTTATTTGACAGAGAGAGATACAGCGAGAGAGGGGACACAAGCAGGAGGAGTAGGAGAGGGAGAAGCAGGCTTCCCGCTGAACAGAGCAGGGAGCCCGATGCGGGGCTCGATCCCAGGACCCTGGGATCATGACCTGAGCCTAAGGCAGACGCTTAACGACTGAGCCACCCAGGCTCCCCACTCTCCTTGCATTGTTCTTAATGTGAGATAAAATTGCTTGTCTTCCACTGTAAACTCCCAGGAAGAATGGTTGGCACGTGGTGTCTTCTCGTCTCACTGTTGCAAAAGGAGGTTGACTCTTGCTGTGTCTTGAGGGGGTGGTTCCTGGCAGGTGTCACAGCAGTGTAGCCTGGTCCCCAAATGTTGGCTGTTTTCTATTGCAGAAATAATATAGTTCAAGTAGAGATATGTGAAGACATATTGAAAGGGCTTAAAGAAGAAAATAAAAATGGCTTGCAGTATCTCCACCCAGGCATAACTTAACATTTCAGTGTAGATCCTTCCAATCACTTGTATGCAAATAAAAATTAAAAACCTAATTCCTCTCATACCCTAAGTACTATTTTCTGACTGGCTTTTCTCATACTAGAGTGTGCACATTTTCCCATGTTGTTAAATATGCTTCCATCGCGTAATTTTAATGGCGGGATAGTATTCCACGACGGGGACGTATCACAATTTATCTTTCCCATTACTGTTACTGGACAGTGAAGTCGTTCGAAATTCTTGTCAATAAATCTCCATAAATGTCCCTGCCTTTAGAATAAAGTCCTGGAAATAAGATTGCTGGGTCCAAAGGTATATTCAATTTAATGATTGATATAATTTAGGCTGATAACAATTTAAGGAGGTGAATTGACCTCTAGAATAGTTAATGAATTTATAGTCCCACCAGCATTGAAAATGCCTTTTTCCTATGGATTGGTTCTATGTAATATAGACTTTTTAGAGATAATGAGGAGGAGGAGGAAGAGGAGGGGGCTAGGAATGCCTGGTATACAGTTGACCCTCAATAAGTACTTGATGAATGAATGAAATGCTCTTCGATAGCAGCATTTCTTGCTACCAATACTTGGAGGCAGGCAAGACTTGGTGGATGATGTCACCTTCTCTGGGAGAAGTCACCTCTCTTTCCCTTGGCCTATTCTAATTGTACATCTCACGCAAGGCCCTTGTCCATCCTTCCTCTTTCCTCAGGACTTACTTGTGTATGCTAGCCCACAGAGATCTGTCGTACATCCTAACATCCTCAGGTGTACGCCGTCCCCAGAGGTCATCTTCATCAATGGTGTGGTCTGCATCCACCAAGTCCCTCTTGTGTGGGCATTTAATGCACACCCACACACATATATTCCAATAACACTACACTTCATGCTTTACAAGTATTGCTGATGATGTTATTTACACTTTTTCGTAATTGATATTACATAGCCAGACAACACCAAACTGCATGCCATCATTCCCCTAGTGATGAAGTCTCACGAAACTTCCAATTTTTCATTAACACAACAAGTGCTTCAGTGAACATCATTCTACACATTTTCAAGTGCATCTGTTGGATTCCTGGAAAGAGAATTGCTGGGCCTAAGGCTATGCATATTTAAATTTTTTTTTTTTTTTTTAAAGATTTTATTTATTTATTTGAGACAGAGAGAATGAGAGGGAGGAGGGTCAGAGGGAGAAGCAGACTCCCTGCCGAGCAGGGAGCCCGATGCGGGACTCGATCCCGGGACTCCAGGATCATGACCTGAGCTGAAGGCAGTCGCCCAACCAACTGAGCCACCCAGGCGCCCCTGCATATTTAAATTTTTAATAGACAATGCCCGTAGGGTCTCCAAAAAGATTTTACAAATTTATACTCTGACCATCATTGCATGAGAGGGTCTATTTCCCTGAAGCCTCATTACCAATGGATATTATTAATCTTTTTCATTATTTATCCCAATGATGGGAAAAAGAATATTTCATTGTTGTTTTAATTTCGATTATTATTTTCAATACAATTTAATTTCAATTATTGTATTCAATTATTAGTGAGGTTGAACATCTTGTCATATGTTTATTGACTGTTTAAAAAAATTTCTTCTGTCAGGGCGCTTGGGTAGCAAACTCAGTTGAGTGTCTGACTCTTGGTTTTGGCTCAGGTAGTGGTCTCAGGGTTGTGGGATCAAGCCCCGTGTTGGGCTCTGTGCCCAGCATGGAGTCTGCTTGGCATTCTCTCTCTCCCTCTCTGTGTGCCCCTCCCGTTCATGCTCTCTCTCTCTGTTTCTCTCTCTAAAAATAAATAAATAAATCTTTAAAAAAAAAAAAATTTCTTCTGTCAATCACCTGTCCCTAACCTTTGCCTATTTTTCAATTGGTTGCTGTGTTTTTCATATGTATGTATACATA